GAATGGGATGAGATACCGTATTGAAGGCCTTGCTAAAATCCAAAAAAATAATATCCACCTCTACTTCTGCATTTCAACTCCTTCCTGGGGACATCAAATACTTGAATCTACACACTGCATGTGCTCGGATGACCAATTCAGGAACCTGCTATCTTATAATACCTTCCACCTACACACTGTAGATCTAGTTCCATCTTGAAGCAATGCAAATTCCTTTCCCTCACTAATTTGTTCAGACTCCTTCAAAACTTAATTCCTCTGATCATTAGAAACCTTCTCCTAACTTCCCATCTAAATTTGTTCATGCTCAGTTTGCTATTTGATCATATGCCAAAACTGTTCTTCACTTCAAGTACCTCTTTTCCCTCTCTAATATTCATTCTGAACACGTATTTATAAAGAATAATCACATTGCCTTTTCAACCTTCATTTTCCTAAGTTAAACAAGCCAAGTTCTTTTAATCTTCTTTAATAGTATATGTCTACATTCCCCTAAACACCTCTGTAGCCCTTCTGTGTACTTGCTCTAGTTTAAATTAATTTTTTGAACATTTTCTGCTTACCTCCATATTCGTGATTATTCCTTTCCTCAATATCTAAGAGCTTGCATAATACCAAAGTCAAATTAAACCAGCTTGCAATTGCCTTGGTCTGTCTCTTTTCCTATTTGGTATTTGGACAGTATGATTGCTATTCTCCAATTATAGGGCATCATCATCTCCTAGTAACAGCAAATCTATTACTGTTATACTAATTATGAAATCCACTAAGTAGTCATTTTCTATTTGAGAGATTCCTCGGAGGTTCATACTACTGGACTCACTATTTTGTATACCAATTCTTTCACTATTCTGGGATGATTATCTGGGGCCTCCCAATATTATCAGTTACCAACTGTTTTTGCTTCTGCCTCCAATGTGATTCATAAGAATTCTCCTACCGAGTTAGATAGAAGGTCCATCTAGCCCAGTATCCTGCCTCTGCAATAGCAAGTAAGTACAGGTATACCTTGTTTTATTGCGCTTCGCAGATATTGCGTTTTTTACAAATTGAGGCAAGACCCTCCACCAGCAAAAAGATTACAACTCGCTGAAGGCTGAGATGATGGTTAGCATTTTTTAGCAATAAAGTATTTTTTAATTAAGGTATGTACATTTTGTTTTTAGACATAATGCTATTGCACACTTAATAGACTACAGTATAGTGTAAACATAACTTTTATATGCACTGGGAAACCAAAAAATTCATGTGACTCGCTTTATTGCGATATTCGCTTTATTGCAGTGGTCTGGAACCGAACCTGCAATATCTCCCAGGTATGCCTGTAGTGGATAATTTCCATTACTGTATCCTCACCCCCATTTGATACCAAACTATTATAGTCATTACACTCTTTTCCAAACTGAAGGTTGAGGCAAAGTATTCAGTATATTGGCCATACCTAGATTATACTTGATTTCCACCCTGGTTTTCATAAGACAGTGGCCATGTTTTCATTACTACTTCATCAAAGTCAGCAGCCTTTCCTTACCAACTTTCTTCCTCTTACTTGGGATGCACGTATTTGCAGTTTTAACTTGAACTCTTCATGCGTCTTCTACATATAAATAAATCCTTGAATTTCTGAGATAGGATGATCTTCCTAATTTCCATAGTTTATCAAAGTTTGCCCGTCTTAAGTCTAAAACTCTGATCAGTACCCTATTTTTGGCTATACTGCAATTAGAAAGTCCTGAATTAGCTCACTTGATGCAATATCATTTTGCACAACGAAGTCTTGTAAGATCCTCTCTGCTTACTAAAAACAAATCTAAAACAGCATTTCGTCTCATCATTGCAGTGACTATTTGATAGGGAAATTTATATGACAAGAAATACTTAACGTTGTATAAAAACTTTAGAAGGTATTTGGAAGTTTTAATAATTAAAATGAATATTTTTAATTTAAAAAATCCTTTCCCCTTTGCCCATGCTTTAGGTATGCTTCAACAAGTTTAAATAAATTACAGTAAATAACACATTTTTCTTCCTGAAAGGTTGTAAAAATGAAAGAAGCAATAACTATTATCATCAATCATATGTCATATCTGTAGAATGACCTTGGAAACGGTAAACTGTGGCAAGTAAAAACATAGAGATTTGTAGAATGAAACATGAAAAGATACTGAAAAATTCACATCAATTTTAAAAACAGTATTTTATTATGACACATCAACATTTTTAATATTAAATAATGTTATAACCTTTCTGTATTACAAGTTCAGCTTTCAAGACCAAATACCCCTTCCTAAAACCAGTCAGCTTCAAATTTTGATTACTGTAGTAATAATAATAATTTGCACTTTTATAATGCTTTTCATCAATAATTATGTTAATTCAGCCCCTACCACCTTGGGAGGTATCTAAGTGCTATTATCCCCATTTACAAATAGGGAAGTAAAGGCACCAAGCAATAAAGTGACTTAAAGAGAGATGTCAACGGCCCAGTTGTATATTCCTTACTTGGGCAAAGATCAGGCTATTAATAAGAGTTTTGTCTAAGAACAACAGTTATTATAATGCATTTGTTTGAATTTGCTTTTTCCCTCTAAACTCTTGCAGGGGCGTGGAGGAAAAATGGCAACTCTGAATGAAAGGACCATTGCTTTGGAACCTCACCGTCAGTCACAACAAGAACATGTAACATCAATTTACAGTCAAATCCTGCTGTCCTTATACAGGCAAATGTAACTGCTCAACAGGAGTTGTTGTGCAGGATCAGAAGATTGCAGGATCAGACCCTTAGTTGCTGCTTGTAATGGCTGCATTGTGATCTCCAGTATTTAGAGAAAGTAGGCATCATTCAATGTAACTGTTTCCATGGAATGCAGAGGAAATCAGTTCCCCAAACCTTTTAACGAACAGTCTGCTCAACAAGATGTCCAAGCACCGTCTTGAAGAATTTTGAGAAGATCAAAAATTGCACCTTCCTTGCAGTTTATTTTGATTCAGTTTCTTCATCCACTAACTCCACTAGTGGAGCATGTCTGTTGGCTTGGGAGCCTTCTTGGTAATTAACCTTCTTTATTATTCCCGCCTTTGGAGCCCGTATGATATGCTGCACACAAACAAATCCGTAACAAATGAGGAAGATATTCTTAAAATGCCTCAGTCTTATTTTAACAACAGCTCCACCTTACAAATACTAACCATAGGTGTAAGAGATCAATTCAACATTTGCCATTTGCTCTGACACGCACAAAAATTGTTTTAAGCCTTCTTTTAAAAAAGTTACTCAAGTTACTCAGGTCTTTACTCATTCTGTATTTAATTGGAGGGAAAACATCATTGTGTGCGGACAGCCATAGTAGGGGTTAAAGATTTTGAAGTACAAATATTTGCCTCCAGTTTTATTAGTCAAAAGGAACAGTGAACTAAATTAAACATCTTATAAAAGAACATACTCTTAGTTAAAAAATGTTAACAATGTAATGGCTCTGTTCCTTTGAGAGGGTGCTGCTGATTATTAAATACATCTTTGTCTGATGGCAGAAAATGCTTGTATCACAAGAACAATTTATGACACTGAGGGTGAACTCTTTATTGCACTGAAGTGTCTAAACAAGATCCCTCTAATTTTAAAGTGGTCATTAGGTTATTTCTTACACCTTAATAAGTATCACAAAAAAGTGAGAACAAGTCAGGCAAAGACTGGCAAAAAAACCCCACCAAACACAGAACGGCATATGTAACACAAATAACTATGTTACAACCACCTACACATATACAATTACCAAAATAATTTCAGGTAAACCTAAACTGTTTTCCCAGCGCACCGATGTGGGATTTTACACGTTATTGATTTACAAAAGAGCGCAGCAATAAAAAAATAACGTATTTCAAACACTAGTTTTAATATGTTACATCAGGGCTGTCCAACTGGTGGCCTGCAGGCTACATGTGGCCCATGATGGATTAAGCTGTGGTCCCCAGACTCACCTGGCCACTGCTCCTCCCATTGGTCTGGGTACAAAAGCAGCCAGAGATTCCTGGCTTCCCCTCTCTCCTCCAGTTGCTGGTTCCTACCCTCGCCCAAGAGGGCATCACAGCGCAGGGAGCTGTGGATGAGTGGGAAGGGAGAGAATTGTGCCTGCACAAGGCAGGAGTGCCCACAAGGGCACATGTTGCAGTGGAAGCAGGGCAATTGCGCCTGTGCAGTGCAGCAGT